AATTTTTGATCTTCATTTATAGAGTGTAATTTCTTCCAATAATTATATTTTATCACTTATTTGAACCGTGAGTAGCATTAATTTGCCGTTTTTGAATCAGTTATATGGGTGTTGTGCTAAAAATAAACAAATTAGCAACTTATATTGGATGGTATGATGCAACTGTTATAAAAAAAGTCATAGTTTGTAGTGTTGTGGTGGTACTGACTGTATCGTTGTCTGCTGCTGTTGCTGTTGCTGTATGGTTGGTTGTTTGCTCTGTGGCGCGAAAATAAATTGGACAGAACTTAGTGTATTGGTGCTGAAGTATTTCGGATAGTGCACACAAAGTGGTTATATGTACTATGTACTTAGATGTGAAATACATGCTATTTTGTTAGACAGATTCAGCGAAAATCGAATGAACAGGCGTCTTGCACAATCTAGCCGTTGGTTCGTGCTCTGGTGTACTGGTGCTGAAGTAGTTCGATCAGTAGCACAGGCTGTGGTTTTGATAAAACTGATGAAATGCATGCTTGAATAGCTCTGGTTCATTAGGTAGATTTAGTGAAATTCTGAACGAACGGGCGTCGTACACAATCTCGCCGTTGGTTCGTGCTTTGGTGTATTGGTGCTGTAGTAGTTCGAATAGTAACACTCTGAGTGGTTCTGTTGCTTCTGGCAAGAGTGAAATCGGTTGCGTGTAAGCCTTGCATGCAAGTCTGAGTAACTCTGACTGGGTTAGCAGATTCAGCCAAATCTGAATGAACGGGCACCTCACACACTGATTACATGTGCAGTTTTGGAGTAGGAGCTAAGAGTTTCATAAACATTCATGCAGTAGTTCCATGTGTAGCATGTTAGCAACGATATCTAAATTTTTCAGAAAATATCCGTAACTGTTCTATTGTACTGCCAGACTCAATTGTGGATGCTTTTTTGTGTTTTTAGCCATCTACTGATATACTGATTTATGAACTGTCGATTGAGTTTGTTGAATTGGTGTGTGTAACGTTTGTTTCGTTATTGCAGCTGTGTATTTTTGGTTACCACCAGCGATTGATTTTGGGTCTGTTGTTGTTGTTTTAAACTCGCACTGATGGAAGGTGAAGACAGCATATGTGTCGAATGTAAAAAAGTTGAGAAAGATGCTAATAAATTGGTTACTTGCATGTACTGTTTCTCTGAGGCGCACTACAAATGCCAAAATCTCGTTGGTAATGCAGCCCGGCGTATAAAAGACAGGATGTGTTTCTGCTCGCATAACTGTTCCAGTATTTACCAACGAATGCAAAATCAAAAATCCTCAATAGTTGATACGCTAGCCGCTGAGCTTAAGCGAGCAGTTTGTAATGCTGTCTCCCAGGAAATGAAGACTGTTAGGTGCGAAGTACAGCAGATAACAACTGCTATTGAAAAATCTACTCTCTTCTTCAGTTGATGAAAACTACGAAATAAATGGTAATCCGACCACAATTACAATGCGCGACGAATTAACTCCATTGTCGTTAGAGCTGTTGAGTGAAATGCGAGAGTACCAAGGAAAACTTAACATCAAGTACGTCTGGGCAAGTAGAGGCGGAAACATTTTAGTGAAGAAAAATGAACACTCTAAGCCGGAAATGATCAAAACACGTGATGATTTGTATGAACTGATTGACCGTTACGGTAATAAATCACCGGAAAAAGAATCTCCTTCGCCCAAAAGAAAGCGCGGTATCAATAGTAGCAGCAAGTAATAAAATAATTGTAAGTTTGTAAATTTTGTCTTCTTTGAATGTTTGCGTACTTGAATGGCTGATTCAATAAATGTGTATCATGATTGTATAAGTGATTTTAATTTGAATTATACTGAAAGCATTGATGGCCATTTCCAAATTGCTCAATGGAACATAAGAGGTATGAATAGTTTGCAAAAGTTTGATAGTATTCCTCTATTTTTAGATAGTATTAAAATCCCAATTGATGTGTTAGTTGTTGGCGAAACGTGGCTAAAATCAAATAATTGTGTTTTATACAAAATATTAGGATATAACTCTGTATTTTCTTGTCGTGATTCGTCTTCTGGTGGTCTCGCTATTTATGTGAAAGATGGATTGAGTTTTAATGTATTGAAAGACGTTACAACTGACGGTTTTCATCTTCTACATCTTGAAGTTAAGAGAAATGGATTTTATTATGAAGTGGTTGGTTTATACAGACCGCCATCTTTTGATTTTAACCGGTTCCATGATGAATTTGAAAACATTTTGTCAGTACAAAACACGCGTTCTCGTTTCTTCGTTGGTGATATGAATATTCCCATCAATTTATCAACTAACAATATTGTCGTTCGTTATAAAACCCTATTAGAATCCTATGATTATGTTTGTTCAAATACATTTGCAACTCAACCAATTAGTAAAAACATCTTGGATCATTTTGTATGCAGTAATGATAATTTGGGAAGCATAAGAAATGATACTATTTTTACCGATGTGAGTGATCACTTGCTAGTAGTTTCTTCCCTCAAAATTAAAAGACCTAAAGAATGTATTGTTTTGACTAGAAAAATTGTTGACAAAATCAAGCTATATAATCTTTTCACTCGTTTTTTGAATGATTTCGTTTGCAGTGACGATGTGAATGATTCAATCAACACTTTAACAAATACATACAGTAGATTTTTAGCCCAATGTACGAAAACTTAAAGTGAACAAGTCAAAATGAAATCTAAACGTTGTCCTTGGCTCAATTACTACGTATGGCAATGGATAAAACTTAAACACAAATATCTTAAAAAAGTTAAAAATGATCCTCACAATAACAACTTAAAGAATTTGTTAAAACATGTGTCTAAAAGAACAGATGATGCCAAAAAAGGATGTAAAATAGATTATTATAAAAATTTGTTAGAAAGTACTTGTCATGCCAAATTATGGAAAAACTTAAACGAGATTATGGGCCGTTCAAAACCAGTGTCTCGTTTTGAGCTTAATAACAATGGTTCAAAAACATCTAAAAATTCTGAAGTTTGTGAAATTTTCAATAATTTCTTTTCTCAAATTGGAACCAACCTTGCTGATAAAATACCGAAAAATAACTTAAATCCTTTGAACAACGTTACTCGATTGGAACATTCTGTCTTTCTGAGACCTGCAAATGTGAATAAAGTGACAGGAATTATAAACGAGTTGAATGTAAAAAAAAGCAGTGGACCTGATAATTTTCCTGCTAGTGTCATAAAAAGTAATGCAACTAAATTTTCAGACATTCTTGTTCAAAAGTTTCGTCTTCAAGAGTGGGTCGTCTTGTGAATGTTATTCCTCTTCCAGGTAGATAACCGAAGCATAAACTCCGATGGGCAAATTATCATCCAACACAGGACGAAAATCTTTAAAGACGATTAGCCTGGACCCTCGCCGGAACCACAACGAGATTGGAAGTGAAGTGCAGTATAATAAAGTCAGTGCCTATCTTTGATTCTGTCACCTTCGTCGGTCGCGAACTTTACTGTTAGTAAAAGTATTAGAGTCAGCCGTCAGGAGTTAAATAGCAAAAGCTACATTAGAGTCAGTCACAGGTTCAGTTAGGTCGATCTCGAAATGTCGGACGTAAATGAGAATACTGAAAAGTATTGTAAAAAGTGCGATCGTACTGATGTGGAGGAAGGAATGGTGTGTTGCGATGTGTGTGAATCGTGGGAACACTTTCAGTGCGCGGGTGTCAGTGAATCCATTGCAGAAGTAGATAGAAGTTGGAAGTGCAGTGATTGCCTGGCAAATTGGGAAGGTGCATCGAAGTCTGGTGTATCGTTCAACGAGTCGTCTGTCAGCAAAAGTAGTCGAGTGTCGCAGAAATTGCAACTCAGCCTACAACTTCTCGAGGAGCAACGGAAACTAAAAAAGAAGCGAACGGAAGAAGAACTGCGCATACGAAAGCTGGAAGAAGAAGCTAAGTTAAAGGAACTAGACGAGGAACAGGAATACCTGAGGCAAAGGTACGAGTTGTTGATGCAAATGGGAGATGCAAAGGATTCATCGAGTAGGAAAAGCGGAGTCAGCGTGAAGAGTAGGCGTGAACGGATGGAGAAATGGCTTAATAAGGGAGCCCAAGTGGACGGAGTTGGACAGTCGAAACCATCAACGTCCGGACAGAAAGCTACCCTGCCAGTCCCAGCTGTTAGCCAGACGAATTCAAGGGTCCTTGTGCTACCAACAACAACAGATTCTTCGATGGTGGAAACCTCTACCAATCTGGTTCCTTTGAATCAGGGTATGCTGTACCCGGATCCGACGATTCCAGTTCCCGGTGGCAACGTCACAGCTCTGGCGAAGTCCTACGAGTCCTTGGCATTATCAACGATACCAGGAAGCACTTCATCATCTCTACCCATGTTTTCAACGATTCCAGTGACAGTAGTAGCAACAGCTAGTGGAAGCTTTGTCACGACTATAGTAACAGCACCGACGGTTACTTCGTCGCTAATTTCAACTTTACCAACGATTACTAGAGTGCCTTTGACGGGAATCCAAAATCCTCCTAGCAGTCTTGGTACTACACCGGTCTACTCGTATCCTGGAATAAATTCAATGTTCTCGAGTGCTGCAGGGTTGATTCCGTCAATTCCGTATGGTGTGAATGGCTTCTATGGAAATCCACAACAGCATTTGGCTCAAACAACTACTAGCTCTTTGCCATATTTCCCAATTTCGATTTCTTCTAATCCTGTACCAGCCGTTCCTGGGAATCCACCAGTTCCCTCCACGGCTGGTTTGTTCCAGTTTTCACCCGGATATCCACCGTTGCTTCCTACTTCAACTACTGCTAGTTTGTTTCCGGGAATTCCAAGCAATCCTGGTGTTTTCCCCGGGAATTCAGTATCGTTTCCGTATCCAGCAACAAGTATTGCATTTCCAGTAACGAGGTCGGAAGTAACACCGTCAGTAGTACCAACATCGCTGGGAATCGACGGGACTAGGATCAATCATTCAGTCAATTCGACAGGACCAACTAGTGCCCAATTGGCAGCTCGGCAGGTAATGCCACGAGAGCTACCCAAGTTCGGAGGGGATCCGGAGGAGTGGCCTATCTTCTATAGTTCGTTCAAGAACACGACGGAGGTCTGCGGATACACGGACGCCGAGAATCTAGCCAGACTGCAGCGCAGTTTGGGAAGTTCAGCATTGGAGGCAGTTAGAAGTCGTCTGCTCCTACCCGCATCTGTTCCGTACGTGATGGAAACGTTGCATAAGCTCTACGGAAGGCCAGAGATACTGATAAGTTCTCTTCTGAAGAAGGTGAGGAACGCTCCGCCACCGAAGTCGGATAACCTGAGCACCATTGTCACTTACGGCTTTGTTATTCAGAATCTCGTCGATCACATTATTCTGACAGATCAGCAAGCGCATTTATCGAATCCGATGCTGCTACAGGAGTTGATCGATAAATTACCCACCTCGCTGAAGATGCAGTGGGGATCCTTCAAGCAGGCGTTCGTTCACGTCAACCTGGCGACGTTCAACAACTTCATGTCGGGACTGGTGAATCTAGCTTCCGAACTGAGCATTGGAGTGGACTCTGCCCAAAACTACCAAAAACAGCCTAGGGTGGAAAAGACGAAGCAAAAGGAGAAGCTGTTCACCCACGCGAATGAGCCGCCAAGTGTATTGAAGAAGGAGAGTCCAGAAGGAGAACGTACGTCAAAAGCGTGTTCCTACTGCGAGAAAGACGGCCATCAGATCCTGAACTGTTTCAGTTTCAAGTCGTTGGACATCGGAGGCCGGTGGAAGGCAATGCGGCAGAAGAACTTGTGCCGATTGTGCTTGATACCGCATCGTAAGTGGCCGTGTCGCTCAAAAAAGGAATGTGGGGTGGATGCATGCCGTTTTCGACACCATATGCTGCTGCACAGTAGTCGCAACGATGCTGCCGACGGCGCAAAGTCAGGCGAGACTGTTCACCATAATCATCACCACACGAAATCGTTCTCTCTTTTCCGTTATCTGCCAGTTACGCTATACGGGGATGGGAAGCAAGTCGAAACTTTCGTGTTCCTGGATGATGGATCGTCATCGACGTTGCTAGAAGAAGGAATCGCAGCACAGTTAGGTATCGAAGGTGAACCAGACAACCTGTGGCTGAGTTGGACCGGAAAGATCAGTAGACACGAAAAGACATCGAAGAGGTTGAGCGTGAAGATATCCGGTGCTGGGAAGAAGGAAACTTTTCAACTGAGCAACGTACGAACAGTACACGAGCTAGGACTTCCAAGTCAAACGTTGCACTACACAGAGCTGTCAAATACATTCCCGCATTTGCAGGGGCTTCCCGTGGCCAGCTATGTCAACGCCAAACCGGGCATGATCATCGGTCTTGAGCACGTACGGTTGCTGACTAGTCTGAAGAATCGTGAAGGCAATAGCAGCGAACCAGTAGCAACCAAAACACGATTGGGATGGTGCGTGTATGGGAGAAACAACGGAAGCGAAGGTTCAATTGAACAGCTGAACGTCCATGCCTGCGAGGAGATGAGTAACAGCAATCTACACGATTCAATGCGAAAGTTCTTCGCCGTTGAGGACGCCGTTGTGACGAAGCAGCTTGAATCCGAGGAGGACAAACGAGCACGCAGCATCCTAGAAGCAACAACGGTACGGAGAGGAACTCGTATGGAGGCGGGTTTGCTCTGGCGTAAAAACAACGTAAACTTCCCGGATAGCTTTCAAATGGCGGTAAGCAGGTTGAGAGGTTTGGAGAAACGGTTGGCAAAAGATCCAGAGCTGCGCAGAAGAGTGAACGAGCAAATCGAGAGCTACGAACAGAAGCAGTACGTCTGTAAGGTGTCGTCGGAAGAGCTGGAGAAAACGAACCCTGAGCGAGTCTGGTTCCTTCCGTTAGGGGTGGTAACGAACCCCAAGAAACCGAACAAAATCAGAATGGTGTGGGATGCTGCTGCAAAGGTCGGTGGTGTTTCATTCAACGACATGCTGCTAAAGGGTCCGGATCTTCTCGTATCACTCGTGGAAGTTTTGCTACGATTCAGGGAAGGCAAGATTGCGGTGTGCTCCGATATCCGCGAAATGTTCCTGAGAATCCTGATTAGGGAGGCAGACAAGTGGTCGCAGTGCTTCTTATGGCGTAGCAGTCCAGAGGATGAAGTGCAGGTCTACGTAATCAATGTAGCGATGTTTGGGGCAACCAGCTCTCCGTGCACGGCGCAGTTCGTTAAGAACAAAAACGCTCTCGACTACGCGGAACTATATCCCAGAGCAGTAGACGCGATCATCAAGAACCACTACGTGGATGACTTCCTCGACAGTGTCAACTCGGTGGAGGAAGCAGTACAGCTTGTCAAACAAGTGCAATTCATCCACGCAGCAGCAGGCTTTGAATTCGGCAAAATCCTGTCTAACTCGCAGGATGTGCTCGATCGTCTAGGGGAGACTGAATCGTCAGCCTGCAAGTCGCTGAACCTAGATAAGGATGAAGTCTACGAACGCGTCTTAGGAGTGGTGTGGGTCCCTTCGGCGGATCATTTCACCTTCGATCAGACAGGGCTCAAGGAAGTTTTGGGCAACAACGGGGTGGTTCCAACGAAAAGGCAAGTTCTACAGACCGTGATGAAGCTGTACGATCCGTTGGGATTCGTTGCGCACTTCGTCGTACAAGGCAAAATCCTAATGCAAGAGATCTGGCGAACGGGTACCAACTGGGACGAGCCCATAGAAGAGCAGCTACACGATCTATGGAATAGATGGATCGAACTATACGAGACAATCAATGAAGTGGAAGTTCCTCGTTGCTTTTTCGGGAATCTTCTGCCGAAGGAAGTTGACGAAATAGAAATCCACGTGTTCACGGATGCTAGTGTCACAGCATGTGCATGCGTAGTATACTTGCGATTGTCGGTCAACGGAGGTAGCTGGTGTTCGTTGGTAGCAGCAAAGACTAAAGTCGCACCACTTCGAGCGCTCTCAATTCCTCGCCTGGAACTTCAGGCTGCCATGATGGGATCACGTTTGCTGCAAAACGTTTGTTCGGCGCTCACTCTCAACATTCGGAAGCGTTTTCTATGGACGGACTCAGCTACTGTTCTGGCGTGGCTTCGATCGGACAGCCGCCGATACCATCAGTTCGTATCTTTTCGGGTTGGTGAAATTCTTTCGCTCACGAATGTGGATGAATGGCATTACGTACCCTCAAAGCTCAACGTGGCTGACGATGCCACCAAGTGGAATTCGGGGCCATCGTTCGATCCAGATAACCGTTGGTTTCAAGGCCCACCATTCCTACGAGATACAAAAGAGCAGTGGCCAAGAGAATCAGCAGTATTAGTGGCCGAAACGGATGCGGCAAGTGAAGAACTTCGTATGGTAGCCGTACATCAAACGGCTGACGAGGTAGTTGTCGTTGAACGCTTTTCGAGATGGAGTCGTCTAGTCCGAACGATGGCCAACGTTCACCGTGCGGTAAGGATCTGGAAGCAAACTATGTACGGAGAAAGTCGACGGCAAGGCCTCGATCGAGATGATTTCGTGAAAGCAAAGGAGACACTTTGGCGCCAGGCTCAAGCGCAGGCGTATTCGGAGGAGGTTCACGAGCTAACAAATGGTCACAGCGTTGGAAAACGAAGTTCACTGCACTCGCTGGTTCCATTTTTGGATGAAAACGGGGTCGTTCGGGTAGGAGGTCGAATCGGATGCGCACCGCACATTCCATACGCGGCGAAACATCCCGTTGTGCTGCCAAGAGATCATCGTATCACTTTCCTTTTGGTGGATTCCTTTCACCAACGGTTCCTGCACGCCAACGGAGAAACAGTCTGTAATGAACTACGGCAGGAGTTCTACATACCCAACCTTCGGGTGCTGGTACGAAAAGTTAGCCGAAGTTGTCAGCACTGCAAGGTCAAGAAAGCAGTTCCTGTGCCACCACTGATGGGGCCACTGCCGAGGGTACGCCTAACACCATTTATTCGGCCGTTCACGTACGTCGGCGTGGATTACATGGGGCCTTTCGAAGTCAAAGTGGGTCGCAGCGTGGTGAAAAGGTGGATCTGTCTATTCACCTGTCTCACTATACGGGCTGTCCACCTAGAGCTGGTCCACAGTCTTTTATCGATCGCCTGCGTTATGGCGTTCAGGAGATTTGTAGCCAGACGGGGAGCACCGTTGGAGGTATTTTCGGACAATGGCACAAACTTTGTTGGTGCCAATCGCCAGTTATCAGAGGAGAAACAGAGGATCCAGAACATCATTGAGGACTGCGCCGCCACATTCACCAATGCAAATACCAAGTGGCATTTCAACGTTCCGGCAGCTCCGCACATGGGAGGACCATGGGAGCGTATGGTCAAGTCCGTGAAGGTGGCGATGAAGGCTATTCTGGATAGTCCACGACATCCGAGCGACGAGGTGTTGGAGACGATTATGTTGGATGCGGAAGCTATTGTCAACTCCCGTCCACTGACCTACGTTCCCTTGGAAGCACCAGACGAAGAGGCACTCACGCCAAACCACTTTCTGCTGTACGGATCAACCGGCATCAAGCAACCAGCAACCGATCCTGTAAACGGAAACATCCTGCGAGACAGCTGGAAGCTTGCGCAGCACATCGTGGATGAATTCTGGCGCAGATGGGTGCGGGAATATCTCCCGATGCTAACGAGGCGAACGAAATGGTTCGAGGCGGTAAAGCCGCTGGAACCTGGTGATCTAGTCGTGATAGTCGACGAGCATTCGAGGAATCGATGGGAGCGTGGACGTATTTTGGAGACCTTTCCGGACAAATCCGGGCAGGTGAGGCGTGCTACGGTGCAGACAGCTAGGGGAGTGTTCGCTAGACCTGCGGTGAAGCTAGCAGTTCTGGACGTTAAGTGCAACGACAAGAGGACAGAAAAAGTCGCTGCGGATACGGAAGTGGTTCACGGGTCGGGGAATGTCGCCGATACCCCTCGTTGCGACGAGTTGTTGGTGAACCAACTGACCGAACCCTCGCGAGCGAAACGCCAATGCCGGATAAAGTGAACGGAATGACAGAGGTAGTAAACAATACATAGACATCGAATAGTGAGCAGCTTTGAATTGTTTTGCACTTCTGCATAAGTTCTTTGTAAATTTAGTTAAGTGAATTGAATATCCATCGCTAATTATTAAAAGTCCGCTATAATAGTGCCACGCAGTGAGTGGAAAATTAATGATTACGAGATTATTTTGGACTCGTCCTTCCTAGGTTAACCGAAGATCAGGAGATAAAAGGAAGAATAATACCGAAAATCTTTAAAGAATGTTCCCGTAAGTCGGAACAAACACCGTTCTTTAAAGCTGCTAAGTCAGCAACTGAAAAGAACGGTGTTTGTTCCGACTTACGGGAACAACTAGTAAAAGGTACATATCCTGAGTGCCTCAAAATAGCAAAGGTAACTCCTATATTCAAATCCGGAGACTCGTCTGATCCCTGTAATTTTCGACCCATCTCTACTATTTCTGTCTTTAGCGAAATTTTTGAAAAATTGTTGATCAATAGATTAGTTAATTTTATGAATCAATAGGATATTCTTTACAAATTTCAATACGGTTTCAGAAAGGGATGCAGCACTTCTACAGCCATAGTAGAACTGGTAGAGTACCTATCTAGTAAAATTGACAGTAAATGCGTTGTTGGTGGCCTCTTTATTGACCTAAAAAAGGCATTCGATACTCTGAACCATAGCATTTTTTGCAAAAATTAGAATACTATGGAATACGAGGTGCAGCAAATGACATTATTCGAAGTTATTTAACTAATAGGCAGCAATATGTAGCTATCGAGGATTCAAGAAGCTCTTTGCGAACGTTTAATATTGGTGTCCCTCAAGGCAGTAATATTGGCCCTCTTTTAATCCTTATTTACATAAACGATCTTGGGAATCTGTCTCTTAAAGGAATACCAAGGCTATTCGCTGATGATACAGCAATCTTCTACCCAAGTCAAGATATTTCTTTCATTATCTCTAGAATAAATGATGATTTGCGAATTCTCACGAGGTTTTTTGATTCAAATTTATTATCTTTAAATTTGGTAAAGACTAAATACATGTCATTCCATTCTCCACGGAAAAAAAATTCCTCCACACTCGAATCCGTCTGTTGAACAGACAATTGTCGAAAAAGTGTTCAAACTCAAATATCTTGGTCTAGTTTTAGATCCTGTGCTCTCTTGGGGAAGTCATATTGAACACATTCAAAGTAAAGTTTCATCACTTTGTGGCTTAATGTACCGAGTTAGACATTTTGTTCCTCGTGGTGCACTCCTTAAATTTTATTTTGGGTGCATACACTCGCATCTTCAGTATCTGATCATTGTATGGGGCCATGCCTGCAAATATAAACTTAAAAAACTGCAAATTTTGCAAAACAGATGTTTAAAAATTGTGTATTCACTATCACGGTTACATTCTACACTTCTTCTATATACTAACGTCATGCAAAACGCTTTACCAATACGAGGGTTGTGTGAGCTACAAACATGTTTATTTATTTATGATATAATAAAAAATCTAAACATGCATCATAATTTGATTTTACCTATTAATTCTCATGGTCACAACACGAGATATGCAAATAATTTAGGGAGAACTAGATGTTTCAGTAGTATTGGTCAAATGCGAATATCTTTTTACGGCCCTTTTGTATATAACACACTGCCAGAGCGATTGAAATTGATCAACAACAGAATGTTATTCAAAACCAGTTTGAAACAGTACTACAGATCTAAAATCAATGCATTATTAATCTAAATCTGTATCAACCGCAAAAAAAAATCAATTGCACTCTATAAATGTTATTCAACACGTTGTTTTAAATATTGATAATTAGTAAATGTAACCATCTAAAAAAAAGTTTTTTTTTATTTCCGTTTTTTTCTGGGATCCCTTTAAAGGAACATAGTTCCACTGGGCTTCCCTTCTTTATTTAGTTTTTGTTTAGTGTTCATCACTTTCGTGCACACACCAATGAAGCATATGTTTATTTGATTGTATTATTATTTTTTTTGTATACCTTACGTTAAGTTTGAGATGAGTCCACTACCAGGGGGCTCAAAAGAGCTTTTTGGTGTGGGGGTTAGTGGTGGGCCATAAAAAAAAAGAAAAAAGAAATACTTGCTTCTTCAAAGTTATAGATAATTTTATGTCAAGCAGCTTTGCTGAAAAAAAAAATAAAAAATTGTATCTCATCAACATATCATTCAATTTATTTTTTTTATTTAGATTTCATTTGAAAAACCATCTTAAATAAACTTTAATAGCATGAGGGGACGCATATTTTGAGGGTTGTTGAAAAATTCTAGCGGTTGTTTTACGTAAGTTGTGATGGTTTTGGTGTAAAAATACTTTTCTCCTAAAATAGCGATCATGAGCAAAAGTTGTATGCATGTTGTGAAAGTACATAATTCAACCTATAAAATCCTTAGACTATCATTTGTCCCCTTTTGTACCCTAGATGAGACAAACGTTATTATAATGATAAACAATATTGATTGTTTTTACACAAAAACCATCATAACTTTCGTGAAACAACATGTAGTAATTCTCAACACGCATCGAAATATGCGTCTTTTCATGAGCTTGTTGTCCTTTGATGATAGTTTGCAAAATAAATTCAAAGTAAAAAAGTTAATGAAAACCATTACCATGAATAAATTTTGAGAAATGTCCATTAAATGATTTGTTGATGAGATAGAATTTTTATTTTTTCAGCAAAGTTGCATGACATTAAATTAAAGTATTCCATTAAACCTTACACATAAAAAGTTTAAAATTTTAATATTAGAAAGATGACCACCCTTGTCCCCACCTACGCCAAAAGGAAGATCTTTTCTTATTGACGAACTTTCTCAAAGACGTCAAACCTATAGAGTGCATGGTTTTCGAGATATCGATCTTTGTCGAGAAATTTTAAGTTTTCGACCATAGTGCATAGGTGGACTAATTCGTTGCTTCAGTGCACAAGCTTCTTATTGACATCCTTTTTCATGCCATCCATATCAGGAGGGTTCTTTGTGAATTTTGAAAACATAGATGAGAGTGTCTCATCTATTTTGGAAAAAAAATTGACTTTCAATCGTACTCTAAATGATCGTGTTTACCTATCGAGCTTCACCATACAGCAAAAAATATATTTTAATATTACATCCAAGAGAATGCACCTCAATCATGTCGAAAACTTCATGTAATTTTTATGGCCACAAAAATAAACAAATGCAGTAAATGCAGCGTAATGTCAGTTCAATTCATGATAATTTTGTCCTTTTTGGCAAGTAATATTACACCATATTTTCGACACGATTGAAGTGCTTCCACTTTGATGTGAAATTAAAATTTATTTGTTGCTGTTCTTAAGCAAGCACCGCACGGATAAAAATACTGTCAATACTTTGAAGTATGGACAATCATATTGATGCAAATATTGACGTCAAAAATATTAATGGTCATATTGTCTTAGAATTAAAAAAAAAAAATTATATCTTGTTTAAATATTTCCACTGATTTTTCCCTTCTGTTTGACACAGCAACAGATGGGGACTGTTGCTTGCAGACCTGAATATGCTCATAACAGCTAAAATACTACTTTTCGAAATTATGGAACTATGAGATTTTATATTAATAATTTGTATATGCAAGATGCACGAAGAGGAGGCAAAGTTTGTGTATGACACATACAATCTGTCAATTTCGCTTCCATAGTGTCACAATTAGCGATTAGCTATAACAAATAGATCTAACTCATGACGATTATTCATTACAGAAAACATGGTATTTGTGACTTTCTGGAAGCAAAATTGACTTAATTTATGTGTTATACACTAATTTTACCTCCTCTTCTTGCATTTTACATGTAACAATTATTATTATAATGTCTCATAGTTTCATAATTTCGAAAGGAAGTATTTTAGATATTATGAGTATGTTCAGGCCTGGTTGTTTATCAAATTTTGTCATCTGATATTCTATCGGATACGAGCATGAGCATGAGCATGAGCATGATTGACCGCCCACGGTTGCTACTCTGTTATTGCCAGATCATATGTAATTACACAGATAACCAATAGACGATGCTTGGGACTAGCAATCATCCTCAATGTGTAAAAACTGGTGATCTCAAGCTAGGCAATACCAGCGCCGGCCGCGCCCGAACGCAAATATTGCATAAGATAAATCTCGACCGAAGTCTATTTGTTTTCTCCTTCATATTTCGTAGTCAAACCACCAAACCCCACAATCAAACACGACTCACCGTGACTACAGTCAGTCTTCAACCACGGCCCTCATGATCTTGTTAAGGACATACCTAACACATCAAAAGCTAATCGGTAGAGTGCCTCGGAATATTCTATCGGATACGACAATTTTAGTGAGCAGCGACCCTGTTTTAATGGCCCGACCGGAAATATTCTTCAAAATATTAACATGAACATATTGATGTAAATATTGACAAACGGGTTAGCCACGGTACCCTTGACCCGTGCTTCTGTCCTAGTGTTTGTAATTGCCTCACGATTTCAATCGACGCCGATGCCAGCTTCACCGTTCATTAAATTCCATTATTAAATTCTTTACCATTGTTGCTGACAGCACTAGTAGCCGCTTTGTAATGTTCTCAACTGTAATAAAACAAGAATCAAGAAACAAAAGACAACAAACACATTTATCAAATCAAAACAATATGCTAATAGCAGATACAAAATCAGTAAAAATCTCAATCAAATCAAGAGTCCTTGAGCAACGTCCAAACTCAGGATGCTATAAATTGACCTTCTTCTCACAAAACCAAAAATCAAAAGCATCACCATCATAATGGAATGTCCCACAAAAGATAAACCTGTAGCTCATTATCAACGGAAACAATATGAAAGCAAAAACGGTATCGTCCCCTCAATCTGGGCGGACAAGTTACATAAGTCATCAATCCCGTCTTTTTTTTTTAGCCAACCGCCCCGATTCCAGAAAGCCATTGAAACCATCATCAACCGACGTGAATCGTTTCAT